CCACTTACGTATTTCTGTTCTTGGGATGCTGAGTCGAGGTCATGTGTTCCAGAGTATGTCGATACTACTGTGTTTTCAGCCAATAGCAAGCTGTATATGTTATATGTGAGTGATATGTTGCTCAACCGACAACTACATCGCCCAATCAGATTGCCTATAAAATATCTGACCAATCAAAATTCAAAAAGTTGTCGGTTATCCAATCATCGGCTCCAAATTTGTCGGTTTGATGTCGGATGCCACCTACATGTTACGATATCCTGGATATTAATAACCGTTATCAATTAATTAATCTACGGCGGTTAATAGTACGTTTTTTTGGACTAACGGTACAGTACCTAGGATTACGTGGATATGATTGGCCATAATGCTTCAGATTTATTTTATATTATCTACCAATCCCCACTCGCCATGTACGGAGCATTCTGCACTTCTGGAACGACCATTGTAGCGATCGCAATGACAACCCCTCCTCCTCCGTACTCCATCACCCACGCTCTCCAAGGCCACGGCGGCGCGGTCTGATTACTGTATCGATCCACACCATGTCTCATTCCTACGTGTAGGTCCGGGCCATTGCTGACGTTCACGGCACGGTCGTGACCGGTGCAATGGACGCAGCGGTTTTGTGCTGGGACCTCGCCACGAGCACCCCGGTGCAGTCGATCTACGAGCATTCGCACTGGGTCACAGCCATCGTGTCGCTGAACGCCGCGCACGAATCGTTGTTGTCGTCCGTGGGGTTTGCAACCGGTGGCATGGACACGCATGTGCGTGTCTTCACACGAGCGTCCGACGCACAGTTTGCTTGCGTGGCGGTGCTGCAAGGACACACGAGCGGCGTGATTTCCCTCTCATGGCTTCAGACCGACACCACTTCCCTCTTGCTCTCTGGCAGCTGGGACGGTACCTGCCGCGGATGGGACGTCGCCACCCAGACCTGTCGCTTCGTGCTTCCCGACCACGAGAACGGTGTGTGCGTGCTCGGCCTTCCCAACGGCGTCGTCATCACCGGGTCCACGGGAAAACAGCAGGGGAACCAGGTCGTCGATGCCCGCATTCGCATGTGGCACCAAGTCTCGCCGTCCGCCTACGAGTTGACGCGGACCCTGACGGACCACCAAGGTACCACGAGCTGGAAATATATGGATTTTGTATGAGAATAATGTGAATGTTGGAATGGCTAACTTACATGTTGTGCAAGGAGTGTAGTTCGATTGAACGCCTTATATATATATATATATATATTGTATCGATTGATTCGAAATACATGGTTTCTTATTATGTATAGATATAAATAAATATATAATTTCGATCGACGTCTATTTATATCGATATATATATATGTATATGTATTATTTCATGTATTATTTCGATATATATATATGTATGATTTCGATATATGCATATGTATTATTTCGATATATATATATGTATTATTTCGATGGGCATCTATATATATATATTGATTGATTCCGCATTCATTGTTCCTTATTATACATATATATGGGGCTGGTCGCGGAGTATTTCTGTCCATGTTTCAAGATATTCCGAGCTTTTGATTGGTTAGTACCCAAATTATCCGGATAACAATCGTTCGTTCATGCTTTCCGGAATAACTCAGACTGGCACTCATTTCATAAAAAACGGAAAAGTATTGATCGACAATTTTGGATTGCGAAAATATTTTGTCCGGATACGTCTCAGTTCGACTTTAACTTCCCCGACGAGCCCCCATATAATATATATGTTATTTTCATGGACATCCATATATATATATGTATTGATTGATTCCAAATACTTTATTGTTCCGAATTATAGATATATATTTTTATATATTCCATGAAGAATACCTTCAACAAGTGCATATTGTGTTTGAATCATTACATAAACTTGACGTTATATTAGGACCGGTGCGGCAACTCGTCCAAGTCGACGCGATTGGGTTTGCGTCTTGTTCGAACGACGGGTATATATATATAAATACCATCCTCCAATTTTCCTATGAACCACGCTGTACTACTTTTAGTTATATATACATACATATATATGCTATGATTGTTTGGGTGGTGTATTCTTGTCCTGTAACCCAAACTATTTTGTATGTTTGGGCTGATTTACCAAATGTATCGCTCGATACTTTGGTACTATTACTGACATTGTATCTAAAACGAATTGTTCGATGGCGAAATATGACCATCACGTGAATTCAAGTCATACCCTAATTCATTGTTGATGAGTGGATTTGATTGGCTCTTCCAGAAAAACAAGTATATTCAACCAATCAGAACTTCCGGCGTGATTCATTATTGATTAGACAAACCACGCGAATTTCGCAATATATATATATATATATATATTGATATGCTCATATAGATCGATTAAAGTCCGTGCTGCTGATGATGGCGCTGTGCTAGCCACGTGTCAACACCCATTGAATCACGAAGGCAAGCCGGGGTTCGTACTCGGTCTGGCGTACCTTCCGCACTCGCAGCACTTGGTCTCTGCCAGCGAAGACTGCACCGCCCGGGTGTGGAGATTAGGTACCTTGTATTGGGCCCCAAATTATTAGGCTAACTCGCCAAATCTATCGATCGATTCAGTGTACAATATTCTTTGGATGTGTACAAAGGTGTTGTTTGTGGTGATTGGTATATTACACGAATTGAAGTATCACACACTAATTTGAAGTTTAGGATGGTTGTTTCCTGCAATCTGATTGGCTACATCCTTTTGCCGATGATTCTTGTGTATATTTATTTGGTGTTGTGTCGATGTATTATATAGTTTCGATATCGCTCCAGTTTAGACTATAAACCACTGTAATCGTGTTTGTTTTTACATGGGAATAGTGTCATGTCCACAATCTAATGTGTGTGTGACGACGTGGTTGACGCACAGTAACGACTATGTCAAGCTCTGTATATATATATATAAGACCTTGCCTTGGCGGTGTAGATATATTTAATTATATTTTATATATCAAATAATATTTTTTATAGTTTAATATATTTTTTCATTATTTAAAAAAATCTACCTGAAAATATTTAATAAAAACACAAATAAAATAAAAAACATTAAATATACAAGCTCTGTATATATATATATATAAGACCTTGCCTTGGAGATGTAGATATATTTATATATATATAAGACCTTGCCTTGGAGATGTAGATATATTTAAGTATATATTTTAATTATTTAAAAAATCTACCTGAAAATATTTAATAAAAACACAAATAAAAAAAAAAACATTAAATATACTTGTAGCTTCATAGAATCCACAAATAACCTAAACGTTTCATTTTTCTTAATATATATTCGAGCGGCCAACACTAATTCAAGCCTTTGGCCGGGATGTATAGATGGTACCCTTGTGCAGACAATCGACCACCCGAGTGGATTGTGGTGTGTCGTGGCTCTGCCAGGGGGTGCCTTTGCCACTGGCGCAGAAGATAAACAAGTGCGCGTATTCAGCTCATCGCCGTCCCATTTGAACGACGCGCTGGAGGCGGCGCTGGCCGCGCAAGTGGCGGAAGCCCACGTTCAAGCGTACGTGCATTATAAGTTGTGGTTGGTTTAAAGTTTCGATATGTATATGATTTCGTGTATGGCAGGGTTGATTGGTTGGCAGGGTTGATTGGTTGGTTGCTAGGTATAACACAGCTGAATTGGAGCTTCATTTTTTGGGTCTTTGGAAGAATATGAAGATATATTATCATCTGAATATGTACAAGTTGGACGTGGGTGCCGAGATAGATCGCCAATTTTATCGATCGATAGTTTGTACTATGTTGGATATATAAACACGTGTCGAGTAGTGGTGCATATCACACTAATTTTGGTCTCACACGACATTCGATGTGTGGAGGTGGGTTTCCTGATCATCTGAATGGCTAAATACATCTGCCGATTCTTTGTCTGTACATTTACTTGGTGATCATCATTCTCCATGTCGCGCTCCAGATTAAATATTAACTATTTATATAAATACATATATTGAAAACGTGATTATTTGAATAATAATAATAAATCATCATGTTAGGGCACGCGGCCCAAGTGCGGTGGAAATTGAAAAATTGCCAGCGTATGAGCAACGGGCGCGTCAAGTGGGCAAGTCGGATGGGATGGTGCAAATGTTTCGGCGGGACAACGTCGCATGGGCATGTCAATGGAGTGCGGTGTCTGCGACGTGGGTCGATGTACGCCCTTTATATCTCCATTTGAATGCAATATATACAAATCAATCCAACCTACATATATATATATAGGTTGGATTGATTTGTATGGGGTCGTTTAGAATCGTAATAATATCGGACACGGTTATATATATATATATATATATAAATAAATAAATATTTATTTATTTTGGCTCGACAAAGATAAAGAATAAACCGTAAGAACTAAAAATGAAATGCTATTTCTCTAGATTGGCCAAGTGACTGGCACGGGCAGTGGGGGAGTTGTGGACGGCGACGCTTACGATATGGTGATTCCCGTCGAGATTGAAACGCCGTCGGGGGTGAAGAAGCTGTACGAAGGATATTTATGATTGGACAGAAACTCGGTTTTATAGTCCATTTTACCCAAAGAAATCTTTATCAATATCATTATGTATTTAGTAAATTGATTAGTAAATTCTAAAGCTACTTTTTTAAATTGATTTTCTAATTCTTTAATATCGATGGACTTTTGTGCTGATTCGCCAAATATGTAGATTAATTTCGATTTTTCGTCCTGAATGCTGTATGTGGGTGATTTTTAAGCACACTAATTGAATGTCATACACGAATTCGATGTGTTGATGATATGGTTTCCTGCCATCATAGGATTGGCTACATACTACTGTAGTTGATTCAATTTGTGTACATTTCTTTGGTTATGTATCGATTCCATTTTATTCTCCCTGTCGCTTCAGTGAAATCAATACGTATGTATATATTGTTTTTTACAATATGGTTTATGATAATAATGGTTTTTTACACTATATATATATATATATATAGTTTTTTTTCAGTGGAGTGAAGAATATATATATATATATATATATATATATATTACACGTGGTGGCGTGGTGGGCAAGTCGATCTATCTTTTACATGAAATAGTGTGGATGTTCTGAAGTGTTTTGATCACTTTTTGATGTGGTTTATGCAGGGAGATTGGATACAACCAAGGGCAGAACCCGTTTACAGTCGCGCAAGCGTTCATCGACAAGCACCTGTTGAATCCGTCGTATTTAAAAGAGGTATCATATATATATATATCATAATAATACTATCACAAATATTCGTTTCGATGACGAATTCGGTTTTGAAGCCGTTTATGCCGGGCTTGTTTTATACAAGGATGGAGATGTTCTTGTGCTTTTCATCTAAATTGGGACTTCTGAATCGATTGGCCAATTATTATTCGAATCCATTTGGCCCATTTTAAGCTTGTAAAGTCAAGCGATGGTCTACACTGTTTAGTGTATATCTGGTTTTGTCCAACTTGGCGAATCAGGTCGATTGGATTGGCAGAAATTCGACAGAACGTCATTTGATTGGCTTAGGCGGTTCTTTTCTGTTTTTCATGCTCGTAAGGCATTCAATTCTGCCCAGGGCCCCATAATGGATTAGACTATATATATATATATATATAT